GGGGCACTGCCATCAACACGATCTCTGAGGGGGAGGGGGGGAGGGGTTTAAGAAGGGGTTCAGGTGGGGTCAGATGAAAACCAGAGATATAAAATCAGCTACAAACATGACAGCACGGCGTGAGGATGCAAACCGCAGAGAGAAAGAGATCAGACTTTTACTTTCAGACCCAGCTGGACGGTCGACACCGAGCACAGCTGCCATGAGCACAAAGTTTCACAGCTCTGCGACGAACAGAGAGCTGAAGAGACCGTCCAGTTGCAACGTTTCCTCTCACAGGAAAAAACAAAAAAACAAAAGGAAAAGGAAAAAAGAAAAAAACAATAAAACATCAGCAAACCTTCAGGCAGCCATTTGAAAATAAAACTGTAAACCATTTTAATGTTCATTGTTCACTCTAGTCACTAGAGTGAACAATGAAAAACATTCAGAGCATAAAAAAAGCACTAGAGTCTAGTGTTTTTTTTATGCTCTGAATGTTTTTTTTTATGCTCTGAATGTTTTTAGTAGAAAATAACGTCAGCACCAGATTATTTAAAAGGGCAATCAGTGAACGTTATATATTTGCTTGTACTGTTCCTTGAACGAGTCGCTCACCGTCACAAGTTTAGGGTGATTTCATGTTCAGTTCAGCTGTGGTGGTTTGAATATTGGGCTATTACCAAAAATCTGGCTTAATGGCAGAATCTGCGGTTAGATTTTTTTTGACAGGTTGAAATTACTGAAATTCTTAATTTCTATAAATTTATAATGATGCTTCAAACAAAACCCAAAAAACAGCCCAAAATGAGTGTTGAGTCAGGAGAAGAACGACTTCACTGTCATTTTATGTTCAGATCTACAACATCACAAACAGGAATCATAATTTCACAATAACTGAAATATTTATTCAACTGTTTAACCTGAAGTCCATGTTCCTCATGTTTTACCTGTGCCTGCATGTAAAGCACCATTACCACCAACAGAAAGCAGTAATGTACCTAACAGCTGTTTACCAGCTAAGATTAACCAACAGAACAAAAGCACTGCTAACTACAAGGCTGGATTGATCTAACAGTCCATAGTCAATATCCTTGTCTTTCACATATTTGCTTGACATGCCTGCCTCCAACACACAGATTATTTTACATACAGGACAGCTGGTGGTGTTTTGAGTGGCCCTCTAAGAAGACTTGAAGCTCTGTGCTGGCAAAAACTAAAAGAACCTGTGTGAAAACTGTTCCCACCACCCTGTTTAAAATTGACAAAAGATTGAAATCATAAAGGTTGACTTTTAAGAACAGCAGATCAGAGAACCATCAGGACACCAAGACTAAAGAATTCTCAGCATCAAAGTAAAATCTGGAGCTCAAACACAAACCTCGATCTTGTCCGTCTTGGCGTCTCCCCAGTAGATTTTGCGTTCTTCATAGTCGAGTGCGAGGCCGTTGGGCCAACCCAAAGACGTGTTCACCATCACCACTCTCTCCATCCCATCGAGGTCGGCCCGCTCGATCTTCGGCACATCACCCCAGTCGGTCCAGTACATGTACCTGAAAAACAGGAGGGGGAAAAAAAACTTTAACCTGACCTTGTTGGTTTAAAGGAGTCAAACACCTGAACTTCTACAAAGAACGTTTTAAAATGATTTCACAGAATTAAACTCTGAAGTTTTGATTGCAATAACTCCAAATATCAAATCAAATCAAATCAAATCAAATCACTTTTATTGTCACATCGCATGTGCAGGCACACTGGCACAGCACATGCGAGTGAAATTCTTGTGTGCGAGCCCACAAGCAACAGAAATGTGCAAACACAACAACACAAACCAGCAAATACAAGAATGGCTACATCTGAAACTAATAAATATATGTACAATATATAATAGTGTATGCATTACACTATTGTGTAATATGAGATTCAGATCTTTGAAATCTTTGAAATCTTTGATTGAAGCCTCATCTGAGAATCTGAGAATTTTTAAAATCCTGACATATGCTTATAAATATTTTGTGCCTTTATTCAGATCACAAAACTCTCTCCTTTATTTTCTTCCAGATGTTAGACTCACCCAGCCACGGGGTCTAGAACGATGGCTCTGGGCTCATCCAGGTCCTCGGAGATCAGGATCTTGCGCATGGTACCATTGAGCCGGGTCACCTCGATGCGGTCAGTCCCAGTGTCGGTCCAGTAGAGGTTCCGAGCGATCCAGTCGACGGCGATGCCGTCAGGGTGGTCCACTTGAGATGTGACCACGAACTGAGCGTCGCTGCCATCCAGAAGGGAGCGGCGGATGGCCTTCACATCGTCATCGGTCCAGTAGACGTATCCCTCCACCGGGTCATAATCGATGGCAATGGCGTGACGGATGTTGTCCACCTGCAGGATGATGTCAGTGAAGTCTGGCATGTCAAGAGAGATTCGCCTCAGGTCAGTTCGCCGGGCGAGCAGCAGCATCTCCGTCGCACCTGAGGAGGAACACATAGGTAGAAACAGGGTCAGAACGTCATCACTCAAAGTTTTTTTACAATTACATTACTGCATTACCTTTAAAAAGATGCCGATTCAAAGTAATGAAGATATCACAGCATTAGAGTTTCACCTAGGCTAGTACAGTATTCATAAAAATTGAGATCAGCAATTATCAACATACTTACTGATAATTTTATAGACCATCTATGGTGTCGTAATAATAACACATTACAGTGGCAGCCTGAACCATTTTTCCATCTCAGCTTTCAACAAGTATGAAGCTGTTTGGTAATCCGCCCACAGCTGAAAATATGACCCATACAAAATTTATCCACTCTGGACCAAGTTTAGACCTCGAATACTGCAGAGAACTAAAACTAAGTGTGATCATTTTGGTCTTGAGTAAAACTGAAATGTAAAAACTGTCCAGTGAAAGTCTTTAGCCTTGTTTGAGACCATTATGTCTGCCTTCTTTAAAGTTAAAAGAAATGTAAAAGATATTTGAAGGTTTTGATATCTTACATATAAAGAGCAGTGTAAACCCTGAAGGGGAATTACTGCAGGTCTGAATCCAACTGGTGAAGGTTTTCTTTCTGTTAGCACAAAGCTAATTAAAAACATGCACAGCAGAAATGAACCCTGGGGCTCTGTGTGAAGGACTTTTACTCGCAGTCCTGATATAACACCTGACTTCATTTCTTTAACATTCAGAGAAGTAACAAACATCGACCCTTCAGCTCACCCCCCTTGGCTGAAATGGTTAAACCCCAGCAGTGAAAGGGGGCATTGTCTGCAGGGGGATCATGTGATCCCGTCTCTCACAAAGGCCTCCCCGCCTTCAAAACTCCCACTGCTCTACAGGCGAGGGTTACTGAACCCGAAAATGTAAATAAAAGGAGGCAGAGGGCGGGGAAACGTCGGGCTGCAGTTCAAACGGCCGGCCCCGCTCATGGAGGCGGATTACCATAGCAACAACAGGTCAGCCCAGCACCACCTTCTGCTTGTACATGACTACGATGAAGAAGAGAAGGAGAAGGAGGTGGAGAGTGGGAGCGAGCACATTATCAGGAGTTTTTAAATTAGAGGAAAAGCTAATGAGGTTTGGCACCAGAAAATCTGCCGGCTTCTCTTCAAGCAGGAACAAAAAGCTCAAACACACTAATGAATCCAATCTGCGTGCTCGGCCTGAATCCTTGTAAACAGTTATACAAGCTCGCATTTTGTGCTTTTTCCCTTTTTTCTGGGTGAAAATAAAAGATAATCTGCATGCGTCGACGTTGCTCACTGACGCACTTCAGGAAATATTTGGACTCTTTTTCTGTTTCCATTCGAGTGTTTCTGAAGCCAAAATGCACATTTTGCGAGTTTAATCCGACTCTCTGGATTATATAGACCTAAATATACACCAACCACCTCATTAGGAACACCTTTGCAATCTAAGGTAGCTGAGCTCTAGCACAATTTCTTTGTCCTTATGTTTGTCTGCAGTTTTTGTTTTATTATTAGTCAAAGTCCAACTTTTGATTTTACTATTAAACCCAGACTAAAATGCTTCAGGTAAAAGACAAAGAAACAAACAACAACAAAAGAAACAAAACCCTGAAAAACAACTGCTAAAAATTGACAGATTGCGTCAGGAACCGACAGACAATGAAGGCGGAGAGTGTTCTTACCGTCTCTGCAGGTCTTGCCGTCCTCCAGCAGTTGGACCCCGGTGGGGCAGGCACAGCGATAGAAAGGCCTGACAGGTGAGAGGAGGCAGAGGTGGGAGCATCCTCCATTGTTCAGGGAGCAAGGAGTATTCACTGCTGCCACGAAAGGAAAAAAAACAAGAGAAAAAAAAAAAATCCAGTTACCGGTACCTTCAAGTTACAGCCTCAAAACTGCACTTTACCCTCAGCACGACCCTCAGGAAATCATTCATGTGTTCCAGATGACAGCTCTTACATCAGACACCAAAGGATAAACATCAGGCAGAGAACTGTGTGTTTGGGTGGTCTGCATGTCGCTACAGCGACATAACACAAGCAATTGTTTGGCATTTGTAATCATTTAAAAGTAAAAATGTGTTTTTCATTTTGAATACGTAAAAGTCCACTTTTAAAAAAAACCCCAAAAAAACAAAAACAAGAAATTGACATATAGAGACCTCGCTTGTTTTAAATTATCTTTTTATGTTTTAATAAGATCATCTTCACTGAAAATTGTTTTAATGACTCTAACAAGGTTCCTGTGCACTTTTCAACAACAAATCAAGGACTTTTTAGGAACAAAACAGAAATCTAAACAGCATTTTCACAGTACAGTGATACCAAATCTGTCAGTGCTTGGCTTTTTAATTAGTGCCACATGTTCTCAGTGAGGAAACTTTGCTGTTGTTTGGCTTGAATTAACACGGCCAAGCTATTGTTTGCACAAACCACAACACCTCGTTGGGGTTTTTAAAGGATTTTCTAGAGCTTTTTTTTTTTTTTCCTGTGAATAATTTAACCCCAAGTATAAAAATACACAAGACGAGGAATCCGACTGTGTTTCAGATTCTTTATCAGAGAGCCAACAAAAACATTTGTGCATCAATCCGATGAGGTTTGCTGCAGCTGGAGCTTCACAGACTCCACATGTTGGATATTCTCACATCTGGTTGGAAGGATGTGCCTCTGTTCAACACCTGAAGGGCTCTGTGCTCTCCACAGCCTGAAAGAGGACTGTCTGATCACAGATGAGGACAAGTGAAGACCGAGGAAACATGCAGCTGTTAAACACATCTGCAGAGAGGCCTGGTTTGTTCTTTTCAAAGCTCAGATTCTTACCCGAGTGAGTCAGTGAACATGTCGGAGGGGATGAAACTGTCTGGACTCACCGGTGGGTTGTCTCTTAGTGCTGAAGACGTGGATGTCCATGGGAGAGAAGATGTTGGAGTGGACAACACGCTGGCCACCTCCTGTCTGCTTCCTGCATGAGTGGATGGAGTGGGTGGTCCAGTCAGTCCAGAAGAGCGTGTCCTCAAACAGAGTGAGGGCAAACGGGTGAGGCAGCTCACCTTTAACCACCACCTCCCTGAAAACACACAGCATGTTACGGTTTTGAAAAAACTCATCACCCAGCTTCAAAAACCCTAAAGGTGGCGCTGCATGTACCTGAAGGAGCCGTCCAGGTTGGAGCGGTGGATGAAGCTGTGCTTGGCGTCGGCCCAGTACAGTTTCTGCTGGCTGTAGTCCAGCGTCAACCCGTTGGGCCAGTAGATCTCCTTATCGATGATCATGGAGCGATTTGTCCCGTCCATGCCCGCCCGCTCAATCTTTGGGATCTCGCCCCAATCAGTCCAGTACATGAAGCTGAAGACACAGAAAAACGCCCATCAGAAAAACACGAAACACTAATCAACCCACACTAAACAGCGTGTCCACATATTGAGAGACAAGTGAAATTCACACATCACACATGCACCTCATCGTTTTCCACAAACTACTGCAGAACCAGCACAGCTCTCAGCTGTGCAGTAAAAGATGGGTTTTTACACACAGCAACATAACCTACAAGTTTTGACTTTTTCATTTTAAACCAACATTTTCATGAAATGAGACAATGATGGTCAGGCAGTACAAATTTTAGAGAACCTAAACATCATCTTCCCTCCCTCCCTGCATTACATCATTCTCCACTGCTGTGCGCAAACTACTGGCTGTTATCTGTTATTAATCTGTGCAGCAGTTTCTAAATAAACTACAGGAACATCTCAGCTCCAGATAAATGCTATTATCTAGAAACCACTGAGGATACGTCCTTCAGAGGTTTTATTGTAAATATCTGGTAGTGCGGCTGAGTGAACGCAGACTCTTGGGAGTGGAGCTCACATAAACAGAATGATGGATGCTGGATGTCCCTGAAACATTTGGATGTGTGATCTCTGTTAGCAGGCCTGAAGACCTGTAGAAACCACAGTTTGCAGGCAGGGGGCTGGTATTTGATTTCCAGCCTCTCAGACATACAAACACAGAATATTCTTCATCAGTCCAAATAAGCTGAACTTTTTCACTCTCTCTCTTTCACTCTCACTCTCTCTATTTAAGCGCAATTTATGACAGTATGTTTGCACTGAAGCACCGCAGCAATTTCCTAATGTTGTAAACCTGCTCAACATTTGGCAATAAAACCCTTTCTGATTCTGATTTCGTAAAGCCTCAATATGATGAAAAAAGGATACCAGGGGTGACACCATGTACCAAATCTAAATATACTACTTTTTAGAAAGTTTCTGGTAATATAATATAATATAATGCAGTGTGTGATTGTGTCCTCTGTTATTTTTAGGTAGCTGTTGTCATCGTTAAAGTTTTCCACTGTTTTTACTGCTTGTCAGGTTTAGTCCAGGTCGACTCACCTATGAGCAATGTTGGGCTGAAGATTGAGATCAGATGAATTCTACCACAGCCGATTAAATCACGAACAATACCATCAAACCCTGATTAAACAGTTTCTTTTTTTTAATAATCAGTGTTTTTCTTGTGGTTTCAGGCTGCTTTGTGAAAGAAAAACTGTTTTAATGTGCTCTCCCAGAGTCCAACAGCTCTAAAAACCATGTCTTCCTCACATGAAGCACACATGTGGAGGTGTTATGAGGAAGGCGGGCTTCCTGCTGTGCAGCTAATTCTCCTCTTTGTTTGCCTTAATTACCATCACAGCTGGACAGCCTCTTTTTCCTCTACCCAGATCCCACACCTCAATCTCAAACCACCTCTCCCCCACAGCCCAGGCAGGGATGGAGAGCAGAACAGACCTCTTTATCCCTAGACTCAGGGCCAAACTGAAATCGAACATAAGCAGATCCAAAGAGGCTGATGGAAAACTCACAGCTGGAGTTAGAACCTCTGAAGTTTGAAAACTGTAACCGGATCCTGAAAGTCTTCACAGAGGGAGCTCACTCAGACATTACTTTGAGTTTGTGAGCAGCTCAATTTTCCAGGAAACAAATTGTAGGTGTGAGTGATCGTACAGCAAAGGGGCTGTGATAAGAAAAAGCTAGAACAAAGCCGAAAGAAAGGAAAGTGGGATTATTCTTGCGGCTTCATATTTATTCCTGGAACCTCTGGTTGCCTCCAACACCCTGTTGACCAATTTCTATGTGACGGACTTGTGTATAGTACAGTGTACAGTACTTACGGTGCATATATTCACACTTTGATGTGATTTAATTGACTGAAAGATGAAAAGAAGCCCACTGATCACACACTAGCCTAGCTGATTTTTCACACTCAGCTTTAAGGCTTATACATTAATTCCCATCAATTAACTGGATATTTGGGATAACACTTTCACTGTGAGTCAGTCTGATGAGTAAACTGACACACAGGTGAGCCATAAAAGGAAAGTACCGTCACATCCTGTAACTTCATGTTTCTGAATGAAAAACTGACCCAAAAACGGAGCTGCTGGGCCTCGCCACGTAATCCCATTCAGACAAGACAAAAGCTTGAACTGATAGCCTGCCCAGCAGCCTTTAAACGCAGCAGCTGGTTGGGTTTCACTGCGAACAAAGCAAAGCGGCAGCGGCCAGATGAGCCGTTGGCTGTGACAGGCCGGCACCGAAGGGTTTCAGTATCTCTTCAAATGAAGAGCTGTGTCCTGAGATGGCACGAGCAGCAGAAGCAGCAGGTAGGACTTCAGAGCTCTGAAACATTCAGGGTGTGTTTTTCCCTCCCTGAACAATGAGGCCCCGGCCAGGCAGAGAGGGGAGAGAAAAGCTGCAGTGAAATGCCGAGCACACAACACATCCCCTCACCACAAGAGCTGCATTGTGTTTGGTACCTGATGCATTAATCATCCCGGTTGAACAGAGTCCAGCTCTGCGTTCCACTGTGGATTTGAAGAACCAGTTTTCCTCAAAGACTGTGTTGCTGCAACACAATGAACCCGACTGCAGAAACACTCGCTGCTTCACTTCACCAGAGAAACTTTATTACAAACACTAAAAATGTCCCTCTTACAAGCAGCTGTGAACTTAATTCCTGCAGGGTACAGTTTTTAGCATTACAGAGTAACAAAGACAGCTGCAACATTTTCAGACTGTAAGGAAGTCAATCTTTAATGCCCAAAAACTGTAAATAAAAGACGGATGAAGGTAGAATAACATTGCCAGGTAAAGCGTTTCAAGAATATCACCAAAGCTGGAGCCCAGACGTCTTGCGCCCTTTTCTTCGATGCGAACTTTTGTTTTTTGTAAAAAAAAAAAAAAAAAAAAAAAAAAGGACCCGCCTGTCGCCTGTCTGACTTGTTTAAAGATGAGATGATGGTTTCAAATCCTCTTTAGAGGCTTCAGACTGGGGTGTAAAAGCACAAAACTGAAATAAGAGTTATAAGAGAGAGATATATAATAAGAGAATAAGAGTTCCTTGGAAAGTTCACATTTATTCTCTGGAAGTCAAAGTTCTGCATTTCTTAGAAATACAGATCATCTGATGGAGGAACTATGAATTGACTATGTGCACGAGACAATGCTAACTTCCTGGTTTGAGACCGAATGTGGGGTTGTGCATTTCCGGTAGCTTTACTTTGAGGTCAATCGTTACTGCGAAGATATACTCCAAAATCATGTCCAAAACTCGAAAACGGAAAGATTGCGTTAAGTTACAAAGAGCAGAAGGTGGGAACACTCACCGCTGTTGTGTCATAAAAAATCTAATGATCAATTTTGACGTTTAAAGCGTTTAGATCGATCAGTTGTTTACATCACTCAACACAAGCAGAACTGCATTACTGCAGCAGAAGACACCTCGTCCACATTCAGAAGCACATCTTTGTATAGTGACTGGTCTTATGATTTAAACAGGCAAATGTTCAGCATTCAAACTACAGGTGAAGAATAGTCAAACCAGATGTTTCCCCCGCTATGTCGATATCAGCTAGTCAAGTACACACCTACACAGCATGTTAACAAACCGTGAAAAAAGCCTCACAAAAAATGAATGATTGCTGGTAAGGGTTTCTATACATTAGTATTTACGAAGGGTATGTTGTGACTTACCTTCAAAATTACAGCGGCCCCTCGCTATAACGCGGTTCACCTTTCACCTCGCTGTTTCACGGATTTTTTAGTGCAAGTTTGCATGCTTTTTTTTTTTTACATCACATTTTGTCCTGCGTCCTGATCGCTGCAGACGATCTCCTCCGTGACGTCTCTCCTGTACAGTACAGAATCGCTGCATTGATCGCTAGCAGTGTGACTCTGAAGTGCAGTACTGTATGTCCACGATGTCCACCAAACGTTTTGCACCGTCAAAAAATAAAATTGGCTACTTGATTTCACCTATCGCTGGTTATTTTTAGAACATAACACCCACGATAAACGAGGGACAGCTGAGAAATATAACATTTGAATCCCTTTTCTCTTTTGCTCTGAGGCGCGGGGGGAAAATATTGACAAGTCGATGAACATCATTTACAGATATATTGGGTAAATGCCCAAGACATCTATAGAAATGTAAATCGCCACTTGATTCATTTGCTTAACTTGTTTTGGACCGTAAACCAGGCGCGAATAGGACACCAGAAATAAAGCTCCCCACAGGAGGTTCCGCACCGGAAGTAGCATATGCTAACGTGCACATAGTCAATAGAGAAAAAGGTTATACAACTTGATTCACTTCCTTTTCGTTACCAAAAACTAGTTCAAGGTTAGGCACCAGTTTTAAAGTGCTTCTCAGGAAAATTACAGATGAAACAACAAACGAGTCCAGCTACAATCCAACACCATCCACTTCAAAATTACAGTGTGTCCAACATCATTTAGCATTTGCCTCATGACATTAACATACAGAAACAGCTTTCTAAGGCATCAGCTGACTAATGTCTTCTAGGCTTTAAACTGAGATAGAATCACAGATAAATAAGTATCTCAAAGAGCCTTTTGGTTCCTTGGAAACTTTCCATCTTTAGTCTATGGAAGTACAAGATCTGACTTTTTCCTACTTTAGAAACAAAGGTCACTGTGCTGGAGGACATGTTTAAACCCAAGAAGGTTTCTGGAACTTTATTCTTTTTTTTTTTTCTTTTTTTTTATACTTGACACCAAAATCTAGTTCAAGTTTAAGTATTGGCTTTGGACCACAAACTAAAACTGCCTCAGGGGAAACTTAAATATGGGCCAATGAACAATTCCAGCTGAAGTTTAAAAGCTTCTACCTTAATATTTTGTTGGTGTTGTCATGAACTGGTACTGTCACAAAATTGGGGATAAAACAAGTCCAACTAGAACCTAAAATGGTCCACTGAACTTTAGTGCAGCCCTCATCCTTAACACATCCAACTTTTAGTTCCTTGGAAACTTCCCAAACTTCAA